ATTTTAAACATTCAAGTTAAATAATATCGACATTGATTTCGATATGGTTGATGCAATCCCTAGCATACATGTAAAATATTTTGGTAAAATTGTATTCACCAAAATCATCAACAAAATTCTTATAACTAGTATGTTCAAAAAATTATTTTAAAAGAGATATTTTCAGAACATTATAGTTAAAACAGTCGAACACTTTATCTTTTACGCTAAAAGTTTAATGACCTCCTACGGGCTCAAAGGCAAAATCTCCCAAGTCACTCATTTGTTAAACAAAAAAGTTTTCATAAAGTTGTTTACCACGCAACATAACACGCACCTAATTTGGAATTAATCAACTCTCAAGGGCTTCCTTAATTAAAGTTGATAGGAGATACGAGCTTCGTGCGTCACTGTCGACCCTTATAATGGCAGTTTGAGCTATTTATTCATATCTAATTATTAATTTCGCAGCTTATAGCTAAATCTTTTGTTTGGTTAATGATTGGATTATTTTAGCCTACACTAAGCTAATTTGCTAATTAAATTTAAGATCGAATACTCTCGTCTCATGACATATTTATTAAGATTAGCAAAATTTATACTTCATTTCTAATATTGTATTAATAAATTCAAAACCAAATTTTGGTCACAGCGGCTAGACTCAACGGAGACAAGCCACCTGCGCTGGAGAAGACATTGTGATTGTGCATGATTTTAGTGCACATGTGTATGCGCAAGTATAGGTGCACACTATAACCTCGTTTTAGTAGTCCGATGGGTCTACAATCCGTTACGCACAAAACCACATACATAACATACGTAAACATTCATGTGTGTCACCCAGAGACTAGGCCCCCTTCTATTTGGCACGATCCTGACACACCTCTCTCACTTCTTTTATATCGCTATTTATACGCTCGTCGGTTAGGGGAACTAATATGGCCCATTTTCAAAATATTGCCAATTTGGTCAATAAACCTTCGTCCAGGGCGTCACTTCCCGACCCTGCCGTTCACACCTTATTCCGTTCACAATTTATTTCGAATAAAGTTCAAATAGAAACTATGATAAAAACAATCAACTACCATTTCTTTTTGTTATTCTCTAAATTGTATAATTTAAAAATATACCCAATGAATGAAGTCAAACTCGAAAATAAACAGGTAGTTAGAAAAATGCTGAAGTTAACAAAACTTAATTATTTCATCATGATCAGGTTTTCTAATGATGGTTTAGCAAAGCGTGTGGCTTGCTTCTAACTAAACGATCACATACGAGTTTATGATAATAAATAATTTTAATATAAAAATTACGATAAAAAATAAATCAATAAACATTATAGCGATAAAATTATTCGAGGATATAGGCATTTACAGAACTAGTATAATTCGCCTATGTCGTCAGCACTGTTGCTCTAAAAATTAATTTCATGTCTTGGTGTTGGTAGAGTAGTTTGGCGCCCTTTCATACATTTACTTTTACTAATGGAGTTTATATTCTATATTTTACGCATATGCAATGAAAAGTGTATTTTGTGTAAATTGCGCCTCTGCTAGTGGTTTTATGTTATTGAAAGACGTAACTAAAATTGTTAAATGTAACACGATATTGTTTTTCAGTTTCTTAAAAATCACACCAAATGATAAAAGCTATAACCTTAAAATCGGATACTTGTTTAAATATATATTTTCTGCAGCTAGTCCGCTATGAAAATAAGATCATATAGGAATTTCCCAATGAATGACAATACAACACACAATTTTCCGATGCTTTTGATTCCAGGGCTAACAATGTATGGGCGCTAAGCAATGTCCTTTGCTTTGTCACACTTTCCTCTTTCATTCTTTCCACGTGACCAAACCACCGAATCATTCTTTTCTTAATCTTGGTAACAACATCATCTTACATACCACATTTTTCTCTTATCACACAATATCTCACCCTGTCATTCAGAATCAGCCCTAGAATACTCCTTAAAGACCGCATTTTCACAGCATTTATTCTACTTTCGTGCTTCTTGTGCCACACCCAACTTTCACTAATATACATTAAAGTAGGGATAACACAGCATAATAAGTTACCATACGTGTCTTTTTTGAAACACTCTGACTCTTCATAAAAAATTTAGAGCTCTATTTACTCTATTTCCCGCATTCCCTCGTTGTTTTATATCCTTATCATATCTACCGTCCTTGCTAAATACACATCCCAAATACACGAACTCATCCACTTGCTCCATCAACTCCTCTTCCATTCTTATTTCACATTAACGTTTTTATTTCTTCTCTTTCAAAAATTATCATTTTCGTCATACTTGCGGTCACTTTCATTCCCCTTTTGTTAACGTCCAGTTCATTAATGTAACCATAATTTGAAACTCAGCGGCTGACGACGCAATTATGACTTGATCATCGGCGTACAAAAGGAATTTGACGGTTAACTCGCCTATTCTTAACCCACATTCTTCACCTTTCAAAGTTTGCAAACAACTGTCCATAAATATGTTGAACAACTACGGGAAAGCTACACAGCCCTTTTTGAAACCTTTTTGATGCCAAACCAGACCGATTAGACCTCGTTGATCCTAATACAAGCACTAGATGACTAGAGACTTTCTGGTTTTTGACCAAAAACTTCAAAGAAAAGACTTGATTTGTATACCCCATCCCCTTTCTAAATCCCGCTTGCACATTCCAAATTTTTCTACCAGTTTCTTTCATAACTCTTTTAATTAACACCTTAGCATGCAGTTTACCCACAATACTAAGCAAGCTGATACCACGGTAGTTTTGCAGTCCTGCTGTGACTCTTTTCCTTTAGATATGGAACTATAACTGCTTTACACCAGTCTTTCGGTACCCGCTTCTATTCCCTACATAAATTAAGCAAGGTATACAGCAGGCCTGCCACCACTCCCTCTCCAGCCCTTAGCATCTCGAGTGATACTCTATCATATTCAGATGTCTTACCTGCTTTCATGCTTTTCATTGCTTTCATTATTTCATCTACACTTATCTCCCCATATTTTAACTTTCGTGGTGCGGGATTGAAACCCCGCTAACTTGCTTTCTGCTCCTACCGAGAATTTCTTGACGGAAAAACCCAATAACTGATTTCGGCCTCAGTCACGCTTACGGCCACTACTCCAATGAGTCGGTCAATATTGTATTACTTAAAACATGCCATACCAAATGATAGAGCATCCACATCATTTTTGATTTGACTTCAATGAATCAAGGACTAAGATGGAATAGCTCGGTACTAGTGAAAAAGGTCACCGTTTCTCGACAATCACCACACAAAAAAAAAACAGAATTAAGCTGCTATTTTCGCTGGTATTTTGTGAGTGTGGTCTTTCTAGAGTCGAGCCGTCATACTATGGATTTTGAATCATGGCATCCACTAGACGACACCCACTTGCTATCGGGCCGATTTCATTCTGGTCGCCTTAATATTTCGGCCTTGATAAGAGACAGTACAATTGCATATCTATGAAAATGTTATCGATCACATGAACTACAGGGACTGCTCTGAGGAGTTGTTGGTGTTAATTCCACTAAGTTCCACCAACAACAAAGAACCTTTCTTGATCTTCTGTTCTTATGGTCATGTACATTTTACATACATGTTCAATGTAATGTACATCGGTATTTTCACATAATTTATCAGTTTATTTATTTTTATATTTTTTCATGATAACTGTGTACGTTAAATATATATGATGAGGTTGTACTATAAATAAATTAAAATGTATCCTTACTTCTATACAAAACATTTGAATGAAACTAGTTTTCACAGGTTTTATCGCGTATATTAATTAATTTCATATTTTCGACGTTTCGAGTACTTCCAGCAAGCATGGCCACGGGAGACTCGTCGGGAACGTAGATAATATAAAATAAGTTAATATACGCAATAAAAACCAGTCTCATTAAAATGTGATCGCGAAAACAAAATATATATATATATATATATAAGTTAGTCCCACGGCTAGGCCCTGGCCTCCTCTCATTTTTGAGAGGGCAGGGCAATGAAGTGTTCGCCGCGCTGCTACAATGCGTATTTGCGAACTTCATATTATGTCATCGATATATTTCTCAGACATGAAGGTTTCCTCATGATGTTTTCCTTCACTCCTAAGCACGTGGTAAATCAGAACTTAAAATTGCAATCAACAATTTCATTGTTGCCGGCGGGGATCGAACCTGAGTTGCTCGCGTAATGTAACTTTACGCCGAGCGCTAACCATCTGAGCTACCACGGCTCCATATAAAATACTTAAATATAAAATACGTAAGTGTTAAATACGCAAGTAAAATTTATTCTATGCTATAAAAATCCCATAAAATCTGAAGGTCCCAGAAAATCCCATAATATCATAGGATGTTTTTATTTCCTATTGTAAAAAGTTCTTGTGGATTGTAATAATTTAGAGCTGTACGAGTATATAATTTAGAACAACGTCACTATATATTGTATTTCGTTTATCAAGCTCTTTTTTATACCCATATTATAGAGGTTGGTAATAATAAATCGCTACTTTGTAACTTCCGACAAATTAGATTAAAAATAGCGGCATTTAAGTAATCGCGTAATCGTACAAAAATTCTGTGAATTCTCCTCGGATATGCCTTAATCGTCACGCTTGGAAGCAAGATTGACGATTACCAGACGTATTGTATCGTAATAAAATCTTACAGGCAACCTGTAAGATTTTATTACGATGCCCATAGCCGGCTTGGATATTTTACACCTGATTTAAGCGAGATTGTTATCCTGCAACCATAAGTTCATCCTGAATTTTTCCACAGTCACCTCCAATGACATCCTCGAGACGAAATGGGGCGATTGATTCTCTAACGCCGCTTTCACGCTGCTAATCAAACAATGAGATTAATCTATTTTATTTCTTTCACAGATAAGCCAAGAAGAGATACCGTAACACACGCCCCATTAATCTGTACTGCTGTTAAATCTCAGAAATATGTCAACATATATTAAGAGATAGCCGAAAAACCACAATGGCGGTACAAGACAACGACTGGGTTGACTATTTAAGCGTGCAACAGAACAGTACAAAAGCCCACGTCAAAACTGAGTTAGAGAATGGAATAGATGGATCCAACGACATCACAAATCTTGCAACATTGCACTTGAATTACAGTCTGTACGATAATGAAACTGGCTACCCTGCGTATTCCAACTTCACAACGGATGACTATTGTTCGTCAAATCATTCACATGTTTATCTAAACGTCACTTGTGAATTTCCAATAAACTATGCTGAACCGATGTACGGGTAAGTTAAAATTTATTTATCACCACACAGTATCTGATCATACCCTCCAGACCAAATTTTAGTCACAGTAAACTGCTTCATTAACTTTCTGTACACGAAAGGATTATAATGGCCAAATGTATGTCTAAGTGTATGTGAGAGCACAGCTGGGCTAGCATGGGCAGGAGAGAATATATCCCGGGGGAAGGGATAAAAATGTTATCCCCTGCTTAGTTTTATCGACCCTGCGAGCATGGACAGGAGACAAAAATTATATCCCCCAATTATATCCACTGACAAGAGATAAAATTATCTTATCCCTATAGTATATCCCCGTTTGACATAACGAGTAGACATATATCTCCCCGTCCGTAGCATGAGGCCGAAGGAAAGAGAAAAAATTATCTCTTTTTGACATTTGAAACGGACAATTTTATCTTCTTTCGTGGACGTGGGTTTAAGTTTATCTTCAAATCATTTTAATACAAAAAAGATGTCTCGAGCCTACTGCAACTACATTTTTGTATCAGAAATTGAAAAACAAGAAAGAAAATTACATCGGCGATCGATACGTGATCAGAATACTGGAATTCCCCGACATCGAATTTTTACGCCGGTTTCGGATGCTCAAAGATTGTGTTTTGTATTTGTGTAAAGAAGTCTATGAGGCTTTAAAGCCTATTAATGCTGTGGATGGACTACCAGTGCATATTAAAGTGTAGTCTATTACAACACTCTTGTGCAAAAATATTGTATATTTGCAATCAATACATGTGACTAATTTATCTTAATATTTTGTTCTAGGTAGGTAGTTTACATCTTTCAGTCTTTTGGCAGATGGTACCTAGTTACCAAAAAGGTACGAGTCAAGACCATGGGAGTGGCTGTTGTTCGAACAACAAATCATCAGCAAATACTTGACCTAAGTTGTTGGGGCCATCATTAGAATATGGGGAACAATATACTTTAATAAGCCTTTTGTGTAGGTAGGTAAATACAAGTTTCATTGCATCTACTTCTTTAATTTTATTTTTGACTAATACTAAAGTGAATATCATTTCCGGGTATATTATAACAAGCAAGGCAAAATGTAGCTAGAGGATACCTAGCAGAGCATGGTCTGCCAGATATTCTTAGGGCTATTGACAGCACCCATGTTGATATATTTCACCTACCATCCCAGACTGCGGGTTTAGTACAAGAAAAGGGCAGTCTACAATTCTAATCTAAATTGTTCAACTGGTAATAGCAAACAAGTTATAGTTTTTAAAAAACCTAAAACCTAATAATCAAGTTTTTTTTTTTTAAATAAAAAATAGTAGTATTTTATTCATCTAATATTCCCCTTTCCCTCAGAAATAACTGTAATGCATATGTGCCACAATAGTGTTACAGGTGGTCCCATGAGACTATAGTCGTCTCAGTTAAAGATTCTACAACCTTTCAGATTGTAGTCACCCCCCTAAACATTGAGTTATTGAGTCTCAATAGCTCAATGATATGTTTTAATTACATAGGTTGTGTCCACAATACCCAAGGTGTTAATGGTCAAGTCATATTTAATGATAATAGAATCGGTCTATACTATATTTTCGGTATAATGTTTTAAAATAAAGTTATCAAACTTAGTAAAGTTACAACTCAAATATGTCAATTCTTTAGCAAAGCTTCTTAAATATTTTAAAGACTAATACACATAATATTAGGAATACAAATAACACAAGACCGATGATCATAAAATTATTCTTTGTTTTGTTTGAAATCATTACATTTTCATTCTTCATGTTTCATCACTTTTAATTAAAATTAAATCTATGTGACTTACAGTAGACATCAATTTTGATGTATTTTATAATTTTCTTATAATGGCAGTAATTGCAGGGATAAGATTTTTTTAATTTCCTCCAGAGGTTACACCACCTCCAAAAGGTGTGTATTATCCTGTTTCACAATTTGACTTAATTCTAGACACATATTTTTAACAAATGCAATCACAAGCAAAGTCATTATATAATAAGGTTTAACACAAGCAATGTATACTTAACTTAATTATTATACAAAAAATAAAGAAAGAATTAGAATAATGGAAAAAATAAAAACAAGGCAAAAATATGCTTAAACTAAATATAACAATGATTATAAATGACATATTGTTTAACAAAAATTATTAACTCTTTAGCGATATAATTAAAGAAAATATAAATTAATGTAAATCAACTTAATCTTAATACTAAACAAAACAAAACAAATTAAAATATAAATAAAAACATAAGTAATTAATATCATATTTCTATAGTTTGCACAGTGTCTATATAGATTTTAATTTATAATGACTCTTATATTAATTACTTACAGTAGTCTCTAGTCGCCACAGATATTATAACATTTTATTTATTATATATTATTAAAGGAAAGGCATGAAACAATAATTTAAACATTTATGTTAATAATATTTTAAAATAGAGAAAAAAAGGTAAGTATATACAAAAAAAGAACTTATCAGCTAATATAAAATCTACTAAAATTAATTAAAAATATATAGTGGATATCACACTTCACTTCTTTGTTATATCTATGGGATATTACAACAAAATTAGCGTTGACAAGTAAAATTTGTAACATGGAAAGAAGAATGCAAAATTAAAATAGGATAATAAAAAGTGGACCTTATAGCTATATTAAATCTAATATGTAAAATTAACAACGTGCAGAGATGTTATAACAAATATAGAAAAAAACAGGTTGGGCATGGAATAAAGTTAAGAGAAGAAAAAATGCGAAAGGATACAAATCAATGTATTCCTAACTATAGTGAACGACAATTTCAGTTTTTTTTTTAAGCTAGTGCTTAGTTTTGGCTACCCACTACACGTAAAACAAACTTATCACGGAATGGCGAAAAGGGATATGTTTTACAAAAAAAAATCACTACTAAAAACTGCTTACCTAAAAAATTTGAAATTTCACCCACAGTAAGGGCATGAGTTTGTCCTCTATATACAAAAAAATTAAGAGGGGTCGTTACTCAAAAATAAAAGTTATTAGAGTCCAAACTTACAAGATGACACCAGCTGCAAAAGTGTGGTTATTCCGAGGATATACACTTCCGGCTGATGATGCATATATTTTCGGAAAGAGCTTTCTGAGACGCCGCAAGCGACACCTTCAATTCCAGCCGCAGACTCCTGGTTCGCGAAACCACCTACCACGTGGTTTTCGTTTTTCCTCTAATAACTCAGGTGTCCTTTATCCAAAAATTCCAAATTTTTGGAGGATGATGTGTCCCCAGGTGGCGCACAAAATCACTAAAAAAGGTTGTGCAGGTTGTGACGACTAATCGAGCGCCGCAAGCGATTTACTGTTTTCCTAATATAAGAAAAAACGGTTTTCACTTAAAAAATCACTAAAAATTACAACACTAGATGCGTCTCGTCAATACTCAAATTTTGATACAAAGTACACTTAAATGTGTTCACATTTTTATAACTTTTCGAATTTTTAACCGCGGTAGCGTCACAGTTTCGTGGCATTCCGCTTTGTTTCCTTGTACTTGTACGTGCCCTTTATTGTTTATAGCTTTATACTATGGTATATTATCAATGCGCAGGGATAAGTTTATCTACTGTTGATATTATATCCACCATAGGTCCATGCTAGCAGGGTGGATAAAGCTTTGGCATAGGGATAAGACTTGTCAGTGGATATAACCGGGAGATAAAAAGTTTGCCTCCTGCCCATGCTAGCCCGGCAGGTGCACTCATTAAATTCCTCACTCTCATAGTCCAATGAGACCCTAAACCGACACGATGAAAAAAGATCAGGTGCAGGACCAACAGCTTTACGTGCTATACGAGGTACTTAGTTTAAATACTGCCCACTTTCGAACTCCGGGCTACTACTGTGAATTTTTTGACAGAAAACTAATATTATTACAGAATAATAATAAAAATATGACAGTAGCATTTTTAGTTTGGTGGTAGCTTAAAAATCTATCACCCGATTGTGTCCCGTGAATATCATAAGAGGCGACTATGGAAAACCCTAATTCATATTATATTCCAGACATAAAGTACGATGGGAGCAACGCCAAAGGTGCGAGTCGTCTGATAATACAATCGCAAACCTGTCTGCTAAGCATAACAAATATAGCAAATCATTCTTTCTATAAGAGAGCCCTATGTGTGGTATAACAGTCGTTCGTCCTTATTATTATATTGGGGTATCTATATAGTTTTTCTCATCTGGTTGGATTCCATAAATATATAATTGCGAACGAAAATGATATAAATACATAAATACCAACAAAATAAAATAAATACGTAAAAATGCATAAATAAATAAAAACCCAACCAGATGGGAGCCTATTATTATATTGGGGTATTAGTAGTGTATTCTCATCTGGTTGGTTTGAATAAATATATAAGAGAAAATGATAAATACACATAAATATATATTTCATATACTAGCATAAATAAATAAATAATACATAAATAAATAAAAGCCCAACCAGATGGAAGCCCTCGGCAGGGGAGACCAAACGGCTGAGGGTTAGGGGGAAAGGGAAAGAAACCAGCGGACGATGCGGGCGGTATCGAGGAGCACCGCCTTCTGCATTTAAGCCTGGAGCAGTCCGTCACGAAGTCCCAGCCGCCTCAGATGACCCGAGAGGCTGCCTGGGATTAGTCCGTTTGCAGAACCGACTATAGGAATAATATCAGTCGGCAGACCACCCCACATGTCGGTCACCTCGTGAGCCAGATCCAGATATTTTGTTCGCTTATCTGCTTCGGCTTTCACGAGGTTCTCGTCATACGGAATGGTTATGTCGACCAAAAAATATCCTTGACTGTGCCCGGTCCATCAGCACAATATCAGGCTTATTCGCAAGAATAGTCCTGTCTGTGATGATGGCCCGGTCCCAGTAGAGCCTGGCATGGTCGTTTTCGAGCACGACTTCCGGAAAGTACTTGTAATACGGCAATTTCCGTTCCACGAGATTCCAATTTTTGTAAGTCGAACGCTACGCCATCACTTCAACAATTCCTACGGGAAGACCATGTTAGAAAAAGCAGCAAGAAATTCACAAGCAGACTATTTTTATTTTGGGTATATCAAATGTAGTACATTTAAAATAACAAAGAGGAGCAACGTATGTAAGGGTACACATGTAGTATTGCATTCAGCAATACGCAATTTAAATATATGCAGTGGTAGATCCGCGCGGCAGATATGCTGTTGCACGTAAGGGCTGGCTCAAGCCGAGTTGGTACAACGACCTCACAGAATACTGACGTGAAGTGGAAGCTCAACTTCCGTGTTTTGTCTGGTGAGTGTAGGTTGCCAGAACCCAAGGTAGCAGAATTGAGTAAAAATCTAACCCAGGAGGGTACTAACACCCCTGGAGAATCCCTCGCTAAACATCAACGACCAATTAATCCACTCCTGAGCGTGGGTGCTCAGGCTGTCCAGCGTATTATGGGAAGGCAAAATTCCGATCAAGACGACAACTTCTCGGGGTAAACTGAGCAATAAGACCAACGCGACCCCTTCCATGCTATTCGTGAATTTCTGCAATATCGTGGGACTTCATTCTAACCGGCCGGATACCATCTCGAGACGCTAAGGCCGGCTCTGCTCTTACTGACCGAGACACATGTGTCCTTTCGGCTGATGTTTCGTATCTCTCCTACCCGGGGTACAAACTGGAACACTCCTTTGTGCTTCGGGCTGGAGTTTGGTTGTACGTCAGAGAAGACATCTGTTCTCGACGGCTCGGTAGTCTTGAAGGTTCGAACCTGTCCATCCTTTGGCTACGCGTAGACTGCGACGACCACCCGCGCGTCATCGGGTGCCTCTATATGTACTATAGCGGTAATGCCGAAACAGACCGACTCTTAGACCCCGTCCAATTGGCTACAGATTCTTTGCTACAGCAGATCCCTTCCGCAGAGATCGTGATTCTCGGTGATTTTAACGCCCACTATGCCGAATAATTTGGTTAACGTTTAACCTATCATGCAGGGAGATCTGTTCATGATTTTGCCTTGGCATGTGGTCTGACACAATTGGTTACTTCGCCTACGCGGATTCCAGATGTGGAGGATCATACACCTTTCCTGTTTGACCTTCTGCTGACCTTCCATCGGGACGTATATCAGATTTTCGTCGACGCCCGACTCACGCTGAAATCGCGGTTTCATTCTGCAGGCTGCCGCCGTGTTTGGAACTATAGGTCAACCGATTGGGATAGGATGCAATCTTTCTTTGCATCCTACCCTTGAGGGCGGGTTTGCTTTCAGCCAGACGATCCCAACGTTATTATTGATTCTGTCACTGATGTGGTACTTCAGGGTATAGAACTTTTTATTCCATCCTCCGTGGTGCACATCGGAGGCAAATCTCAGTCATGGTTTGGTCGCTCCTGTAAAATAGTATCATGCTATAAGCAGGAGTGCTACCAAGCCCGGGCTGATGCATCAACGTCGCGGGATGTTATGACCTGCGCTCTAAAAATAAGTATATTGCGCCTCCAGGTCCTTCAAAAGAATCATTACCAAATCAAAGTTAGAGCTCATAGGTGGAATTGGCGAGAAACTAGTTCGCCTTCCTTCTGGAACCCGTGCATTCTGGTCTCTCGCCAAGGCTGTCCAGGAAAATTTCTGTCAGCCATCTCTTCTATTTTTGTACAGGGAGTACGACTCACTGGTCCATTCCGCAAAGGGGAAAGCCGATCTGCTAGGCTCTTTCTTTGCATCCAACTCGACTCTCGATGACGGAGGGAGTACGCCGCCAACCATCTCGCGGTGTGAGTGCTCCATGCCGGAGGTGCAATTTACACAGCACTCGGTTTGCTAAGCACTCCTCTCCCTGGACACACACAAGTCGAGTGGGCCTGACGGTATCCCCCCCAATTGTGCTGAGGACGTGTGCTCTAGAGTTGTCACCGGTCTTAACGCGTCTTTCTCTCTAGGCGTAGTCCTAAAATCGTGGAAGACGGCTTTTGTTCACTCGATCCCTAAAAAAGGCGACCGCTCTAACTCGTCCAACTACAGGCCCATCGCCATCACCTCCTTGTTCTCCAAAACAATGGAATCCATTGTAAACTGCCAGCTCATGAGGACATTGTGAAGGCCTTCGATCGGGTTTGGCACAAAGCGCTTCTTTCGACGCTCTCTTCCTATGGGCTTCCTGAGAAATTGCGCAATCTGATCACCAGCTTTCTTACAGATTGGAGCATCGAGGTCATTGTAGATTGTTTCTTCTACAAATCTATGATATGTTGCAAACCTGCAACATTCATTGCTATGCAGATGATAGCACTGGTGATGCTCTGTACATTGGCCGTGCCAATATTTCTCGGGAAAACGTGTCCGAGTACCGGCACAAATTTGTGTCTGAACTCGAGTATTTGCAAAACAAATTTTCGGGTTAGGTTCGGCTAAATCTAGTCCAGTTTAACCCTCAGAAGGCACAAGTTTGCGTCTTAACCGCTAAAAAGAACCCCTTTGTCATATCTCCTCAGTTTCAAGTCACCCCTTGTTGCCTCAGACAGTATCCGAATCCTCGGCCTCGACATATCGAGTGACGTGTAGTTTCGTGGTCACTTGGAAGAGAAGGCCAAATTGGCCTCTAAAAAGCTTGGTGTGCTCAGCAGAGCGGGACAGTATTTAACAAGTATGTGATAAGTATGTAACGCAATTTTACAAGGCGCAGGTTCGGCAGCACATGGAATACTGTTCCCATCTTTAGGCTGGACCTCCCCAGTACCAGCTCCTTTCACTAGATCCCATCCAGCGCAGAGCGGCTCGAATCGTCAAAGACCGAGTGCTTTCTGATCGGCTCGATTCACTGGCGCTGCGAAGAGATGTTGCATCTCTTTGCGTATTTTATAGCATCTATCAAGGGAAGTGCTCTGAAGAATTGTTCGGATTAATCCCAGCCGCCAAACTTCATGAATGCACTACGCGGCAAACCTTCCGATACCATCCACACCATCTGAATGCTTAGCGGTCCACCACTGTACGTTTCACGTACGGCCGCGTACGACCTATCTGTGGAATAGTTTACCACCGTACATTTTTCCGGACCGATAGGACCTGGGGACCTTCAAGAAAAGAGCTTACTCCTTTCTAAACGGATGGCAACGCACCTGCAATTTCCCTAATGTTGCGGTTGATCATAGGCTGCGGTAGTCAACATCAGTTAAACCGTAAGCTCGTTTTCCCCCTCTTCTATAAAAAAATACGCCCGCTAAGCATGTGCAAATGTCTCTCAGTATGGCTAATTCTTCTTAAAGAGAGAAGCCCAGCTGATTAAAACGAAGAATTTTCTCATCTTCAACGAAACAAGGTTTAATTATAAATAGAAAAGCGTGCAGAAGATGTTATTTATATAATGATGGAATGTGAACGGAACGTATAATGTTGGGTTGTATAGTGGTATCTTAACCATTCAGTCAAATAAGGCTAAAAACTTTTGTATTGTTAGGTGTTAAGAAATAGTAACCTTTTATTATTGTTTACATGAATTTATCATTTTATATATATATATATATATATATATATATATATATATATATATATATATATATATATATACAGAAAAGGAATGACAAACGATTACACAGTCGACTTGATGGTAATTGGATGATGCGGCTCAGAGACATCTACTTCCATCGTCGATTAAGAATCAAATGTAGACGAATGGTCATCAGTGAAAACTAAGTAATGCCTCATTTCCATTAAAAAGCTTCTCCAGTTTTCTAAACTTAACATATAAAACAAAGTAGCATCAAGATGTTATTTTATGCTGGATTTCTGTAAGAGCGTAGTCCTACGGCGGTTGAAACGACTAAACTGTGCTGCAACCATTACATAAGTTTTTAAATAAACGACTGTCTCTACTTATATACCTTTTTCCTGCAGATATATCGCGCCATTTCTTCTTGCTACCACAACTGTTGCAAACACGCTGATCGTCGTGGTGTTGTCACGTCGCCACATGCGGACCCCCACGAACGTTGTGCTAATGGCGATGGCACTGTGCGACATGTTCACAATGCTGGTCCCCGCCCCCTGGCTGTTCTACATGTATACCTTTGGGAATCACTACAAGCCACTTAGTCCTGTACGAGCATGTCAAGCATGGAATTATATGAATGAGGTAAGATATTTCAGAATTTTGGTTGTTTTAGTTCTGTTGTGAAAATTTATCACTTATTTTATGCTATAGCTTTTATGAACCGGTATTGTGAAAGCCCTTGACTACCCTATAACCAATGTCTTAGGTGTTTTAATGTAGTCACGTGGAAACACTAAGAAGATCTTAAGGCATTCGATAGATTTCATTTTATCCATCTAGTATAAGTCATGGTTTCAAGTGCCGCCACGCTATATCCACGCTACAGCATGCACTAGTCGGCTCGACCAAGGAAGAACAACGATCGCACATAATAGCGGCATTATGCTAGTGTATTTGGTATAGAGTGTCGACATCCACCAACGCTTTTGACCGGTTAGAGGCCATCTTAGTTCCCAGGGGTATGACATCCGCGTTTTAAGTATTAATCGAGAATGGGTTTCAGTAAATTATAGATTTGGTGTATGAACCTTAGTTTCCAAATCCACTCATTACGAAAGTGGTTTAAACCGAGGTTTATGACTCCTTCAGAGTGGCCCTTAAACCACATCGAGACCCTCCTCCTATCTAGAGGAACCTTACTTCAAAAGCAGAGGCCGGGGTGCTTCTGAAATCCAGTCGGCAAAGCACCGCTTCGAAGACGGCAAAATCGAAGTTTTCTTCCTCTCACTACTTCCTTGTGGAATCGACTACCACCAGAGACTTTTCCGGACTGATACGACCTAGAGACCTTCAAGAAAAGAGCCTATTCCTTTGTAAAAGGTCGGCAATGCATCTGCAATTTTCCTGGGGTTGCAGTTGCTCATGGGTGGCGGTAATCACTTACCATCATGTGAGCCGTATGCTCGTTTTCCCCTTCTATTATTAAAAAAGAAAAAAAATCCATTTGCTGCGGACTGGCTTGTGCAACCACACTAGTGAACTTTCGTCTAACCCCTTGTTGTTGATGAACAACAAAAGATGAAAACCCGGTATGAACCGGGTTTTCATCTTTTCAGACATTTGCTGGCCCGATTGTCTGACGTGCTCATAAATGTCATTCATCTTGTTTCGGAAGTTATTTGCATAGTCAGTAGTACTGCGTGGGACATCAGCCGGTGTTTTCGTGATCAGGTCTGCAGGCAGCCGTTATCCCCTTCCAAATTTTCCAAAAGCTGGTGTTACTGACTGTTACGGTGTACTTTCGTGAACAGCGCTTCGATATGAGAACAATAACGGTTGTATGTGCTTGTCCCAATCTCGTTCCCGATTTTCCACAACTTTTGCTGGGTACTCCAATGTCTGATTAAATCGTTCCACCAAACCATCAGATTACGGGTGGTAAGAAGTTGTTTTTGTTTTATGAGTACCCATAACCTGACAAGTTTCCTGGAATTTTCGAGACTCAAAATTGCTTCCTTGATCGCTGTGAATCTCTAAAGGTACTCCAAAATGACAGAAGACTTCATTAACTAGTTGATCAGCAACTGTTGAAGCTTCTTGATTTGGAATAGCGAAGACTTCAATATTTGTTACCACTTTCACTTTTTGGGAACGGTCCACAACGTTAAGAGCTATTTTGTCTCATCGTGCACCAACATTGTACAATTTTAATACACCTGTACTACGAGTCTTTTGTCACTTCACAGCCGCACAACTTGAAAATTTGGAAAACCAACCCTCGACATCGTCACGACAGTGGACCCAGTAAAACCATTCTCGGATCTTCAGTAGTGTTCGTTTAACTCCCAGATGGCCTCCTGAACAACCGTAATGGTACAGCTGTAGAACATCCGGTACTTTAGCTTTAGGAACTACCATATGCAAATGAGTGCTGTCTCCCCGACTATTTTCCCACTTACGGCACAGAACTCCATCCTGAATCAGCAAGCTGTCCCAATACCTCTTCGTGGTCGAATTCATCGCAGAGACGTCGTTTCAGTTGGGCTTGGGAGTACTGACCTTCATCCATTCTAGAATCGGCTTTATTTCCGAATCTTCCTGCTGTGCATCTTGTAGGCTGTCCTTTCACTCGTTGTTGAGGTGGTCTGTCCTAAGCATCCCAACAGATACCGCTTCCTTACCTTCTTGCCTAGTACAATGCTTGTAATCTTTAGGATAAGGTCTTTTTGACAGTGCATCTGAGTTGCCATGAGATTTCCCGCTGCGATGTTTGATCACAAGGCCGTATTCCTGCAGTAGTTCACTCCATCTCGCAACTTGTCCTCCTAGATTTATGAACTGCAATAGCCATTTCAGTGCAGCATGGTCAGTTCGTAAGTTAAATTTTCGCCCCAGAAGAAATTCGCTAAAATGCTGCAACGACTTTACCACTACGCTAGCAATTCCCGTCTTGTGACACAATAGTTCCTTTCCGGTTTTGACAAAGACTTGCTGAAGTACGCTATCACAACCTCTTGATCACGATTCCGTTGAGACAACACACCGCCAACTCCTATATCACTTGCGTAGAGTGTAGTTGTTGAGTCTAGGTATGTTATCTGTATTTTATATAATATTGTGCAGTTGAAGGTGAAATACAGCTTGTTTTATAAACAAACTTAAAAATTACAGCGCGTACTAGTAAACATATACAATGAAACATATAAAACGCTAACAACATTGAATATAGAAAAGTGATAGCAAATATTTTTAGCATATTTGAATAGTACAAAGTTACATTATCGTATGTACAGCTACGAAACATAGCCCTATATAACGTTATTGCAATATTCGGTGTCCGTGAACGGGGAGTTCCGAGCACAGTGTTATCAAACACGAATGTCAGTTAAACAAGTTGGAGTGGAAATATTATGGTAATTTATAAAGCTCAAAATAGTAGCGGATCACTTTAATTGGGTATGAAATACGAATTTTAGTCTAACAAATTTTTCTAAATTTTAGTGTTATTTTTGGATGTGTACTAACAGCGTAAGATATTTCATTAACGCTTATAATCCAGTAAGGGTACCGTAAGAGGCGATGGAAATAAAATAACTGTGTATTGGCGCTGTAAGGATATCCACTACCCCTTATATCATAGCATAACAAATCAAGAGATGGGCAGCAGCATCTTTCAAATAACGTCGAAAAACTGCGGTTGCCAAACAGCTTGCCAAGCATTGCAACTGAAACTGAAAAATGGAGAAGGCTTATGTTCAGCAGTGGACTTTAATAGGCTGTAACGGATGGGGAAATAAAGCGGGAGATGGGCTTCAGCATGTTCCTGACAACAATTTCATATAAAGGTGCAGTTGCCAATCTGCTTGCTAAGCATTGCAACTATCTCTCTCAACTATCTCGCCTATGAAGCAATCTGTGCATAGGCCAGATTTATCTATTTTTTAAATTTTATTGACGCCAACTATTTTTGACGACCGATAAGACTTCTTCCTTCTGCAAAAAAAACCTACTCTTTTTTAAAACAGCAACGCACCTACACTGCTACTCATTTGGCGGCTACGTGGCGCGTTAACTTAGCAATTAGTTGCAGCACTGAGGGCCGCAGGTTCGATTCCCACATGAAACAAGCAGTTATTTGTATGGCCTACAAATAATTTTTCCGGGTCTGGATGTTTTTCCTTGTGAAATTTGTATACGTAAGATACAAGTTATCACTTATAAAATCCTCGAGTGTTGTAAATAGGCAACGGTGATTTTTTACTATCTGATGTAATGTGTGTGTGTGATGATTTATCATTAGTTCAGCCGTAATAAACGGACGTTGTGGCCAAAATAGACATATGCATCTGTCATCGATTAAGAAACAAAATGCAGATGCGTTGTCACCTCTGAGGTCTAAGGTGAAATGTCAAAATCTGTTGATTCTTTCCAGAGATATCGTTGACAAAATACATCTCGAAAAAGTATGTTTTTCAAAATAACTTGAAAATTTTCCGTGAAATCAATTTTTTTGTAGTAAGATTTTTCATTCAGCTGAAAATCATTGAGTCAACTGAAAAAGTATGTTTTTCAAAATAACTTGAAAATTTTCCGTGAAATCAATTTTTTTGTAGTAAGATTTTTCATTCAGCTGAAAATCATTGAGTCAACTGCCATAAGTTACATCAAAATTGGGTAATTTGTTCGGGAAATAGTCAATTTTGAAAAAAAAAACATAGTTTAACAAAATTATTTTTTTATTTATAATGAGTAGAATTGGAGCGCTTAGATATTAATATTAGTGAGGAGTTACGGCGATGATTTACAGGGTTGGTTAACCCTTTATTTATACACAACAAGAATTAAATTTCGACAATGTTGTTGGTTTAGTTAATTTCAAGTACAGTTACTAAAATTAACCACACCAATAATTTTGTCGACGCCGAATTTTGATAATTTGTAGTGTTCGCATTTTTTCTTTTGACTAGTTCCATATTAGCTAGAATTGGTATGTAGTTTTGATTTATTGGTCAGAGAATCAGACAATCAGGGAATTAGTAAATGCTTAATTACAACTTTTCAGACTTGAATAACTGAGTTATTCCGTTTATCCACCCTAAAAAATCCACCCTAGGCTGGATACTTGGAAACGCACGTTTATTTCCCACCCCAGACGTGGTGGATAATTAGATTCGGATTTCCTCCTTCAGCTCTGTCCAGTCATTCATAGAAACATGAGACAATCTGGCCCAAGGTGATTCTATTTATCGACCCTAAAAATCTACCCTAAGCTAGATACTTGGAAACGCATGTTTATTTCTCCACCCTAGACGTGGTGGATAATCGGAGTTCGTATGTTATATTTTCTTCGGATTTCCTCCTTCAACTCTGTCCAGTCATTCATAGAAACATGAGACAATCTGGCCCAAGATGATTCTATTTATCGACCCTAAAAATCTACCCTAAGCTAGATACTTGGAAACGCATGTTTATTTCTCCACCCTAGACGTGGTGGATAATCGGAGTTCGTATGTTATATTTTCTTCCGATTTCCTCCTTCGGCTCTGTCCAGTCATTCATAAAAACATGAGAAAAACTGGCCCAAGATGCTTTGTAGATATATATGTATGTATATTTTTTATAAGTATTTGCATACTTATAAA